GGTGATGGTGTGGTATTAATCGACCGTGGCATCAGAATAAATGCCGAATATTATCGCGAAAATATTCTGGAGGGAGTATTAAAGCCTTGGTCGCTCTCCGCTCGAATTAATCGACTGTGGCATCAGAATAAATGCCGAATATTATCGCGAAAATATTCTGAAGGGTGTATTAAAGCCTTGGGCACGCAAACATTTTGGCCGCAGACGTTAGACATTCCAACAGGACTCAGCACGCGCCACCAAAAAATGGTTACAAAATGAGGTTCCTCGCTTCATTTCCAGCGCACAATGGCCGCCAAAATCTCCGGATACCACCAATCCGTTGCGCGACTATTCTGTCTAGAGTATTTTGGAAAGCAAGGTTCGCACTAAAAAAAATACCAAATACCACCTCAAGCAAGCGCTTCGTCGGGAATATGCCGAAATACCGCAGAGCAAGATACGGCCAGCGTGTGACGGTTTCATTGGCCGTTTAAAGGCCATAATTCGTACCAAAGGTGACCAAATTCGAACAAATCTAAACTTATTCTAAAATTTGAGGTTATTTCCGACATTTTTGCTTTCAGACAAAAAAATAAGAAAAAAAAAACCAAAAAATGTAAAAATTGTGGCGTAAAAAAATTGTTAGTGTTTCTGTTAGGGAGGAAAATAGGATGATGTTGAAGTGAGATAAGTGTGTGTGGAAAACGGGACCCTTATAAATTGAATTCATTGATGGCTGGCTTAAGTCATTGGCCGGCTTCTTCGGAAATGAACAAAAGAGCCTAGGACCAAAATCGAACTAAGTGAACCTTAAACTCCTTTGTTAATCTACGAAGAAGCCAGCCGATGACTTAAGGTGGGAATACATAAAGCGCTTATATGGCTGGCTTAGTCATCGCCTGGCTTCTTCGGAAATGAACAAAGGAGCCTAGGGCCAAAATCGATCTAAGTCAACCTAAAACTCCTTTGTTCATCTACGAAGAAGTCAGCCGATGACTTAAGCCAGCCAAATATGCGCTTTATGTATTTCCATCCTTAAGCCAGTCAAAAAAGCGTTTTATGTACTCTGGCCTGAAGGGTCAAAGTTGAGTGGGCTAAGTGTAGGAATTATTAACACCAATATCCCGTGTTATGGTCGTATGTGTTTTGTCGTTTTATTTTGATTTGTTTGTTATAATTTCATGTTGTTCCTTTTTTATTTTTCGACCCCTAGGGCTGATGGTGGCAGGGTTGGGAAGTCATCCCTAAAGCCGTACCCCGACTGAGCTAGTTGTAACCCCACAATAGCGTCGTATCAGGTGGTACGCAACAATATGCAGTTTTTTATCTCACCAAGTAGTTCTTTTTCACTTCTAACTTTTCAAAATTTTCAAGCTCTCAGTGCCCAACACGCAAGACTTCATAACCCATGCCCATGACACTCTAATATCCCGCTTCTTTTTTGTATACTTCATTTTGTTGTTGTTGTTGTTTTTGTATATTTATTTCACTACAACTATTTTTTTCTTGCTGTTGTTGGCGATAATCACCCAAGTGCTTTATAATTATGGCCAAACAATTGTTGTCTACAAGAAAGAAACAGCAACAACAAAAAACCAACCTTACCTTACTGTAACTTTGTTTCGGTTTGGGGGTTTCTATGCTGCTGGCTGCCACAGTTATTAAACTATTTTTGAGGATGATGTTGAGTTATTTTTGTTGCTGTTGTTGTCGTCGGTTTCTGCTATCTTGCTGTGAATACTTATTATATAAAGCAATAATAATAATAAAAAAATAATGATAATGCCTCCACCGAATACTCCACCACCAGTCTACAACTTCATCATCACCATGCTCTTGATAATAATGACATTGTCGAACATCATTCGTCAAGTACCAACCAACTTGTAATGATAGCTGTGTTTTTCTTTCCGGTCTAACATTCGAAGAGAAGCTGACATTTAAATTAACCTGAATTTAGGGCACAACCACTGAAATGGTGCCAAAGTGATTTAGAGGCGACCCATAGCTCGAAGGGCCAAAGATCTTTGGCTGCTGGCAGAAAACCTAGAGAGGAGGAGAGGAGAAGACACCGACACACGTATCCTCAAGAAGGTATATTCTTATAAAAGAATTATTTGCATACCTTAAATATTTACCTGTGACGAGTGGCATACTTTAAAAAAATAATAAATAGTCTATTTTCGGCGTTCCCATGGTAAAATTAAGAAGGTAAAGTCATTTCAAATAAGCATATCCACCTCTGCATTTTCTGTAATTTTCCTTGTCAAAATTTCTCTGAATTAAAAAGGGTTTTCCATCCCTGATTTCTGTGTGTATAATGGATTTATAAACAAATACATTTTGACATAAAGGTGTCATCAAACCAATAATTTTGGAAAAAATTGTAAACATGTGATTGCATAACTTTTCCTTCTTTATTCTACCACGGGTGTTCCATGGCAATTTTATATCCTTCTTCAGAAAACAACAAAGGAGCGTAGGGCCAAAATCGAACTAAGTCAACCTAAAACTCCTTTTGGTTTAATGTACCCTGACCTTAAAAGAGTAAAGGGCCAAAATCGAACTAAGTCAACCTAAAATTTCTTTGTTCCTCTATGAATAAAGGTGGGACTAAATAAAGCGCTTATCTGTCTGGCTTCTTCGGAAATGAACCACCTTTAGTGTGGAAACACATAAAGCGCATATTTGGCTGGCTTACGTCATCGGCTGGCTGGCTGGAAATCAACAATGGAGCCTAGCATCAAAATCGAACTAAGTCAACCTAAAACCCATTTGTTCCTCTACGAAGAAGCCAGCACAATAAGTGCTTAATTTATTCCCACCTTCGAAGAAACCCCGGGAAGTAACTGAAACAGAGCTTGATGAGTTCGCTGCGAAAATGCCAGCATTAACTCAAGTCCGAATTTGTGGCTGCTAAGGAAAAAACGCATGCTTTAAGTACTCAAGCAAATCACGCCGTAAAGTCTTCGAGGGAAGAAAGTGAAACTACTTTCGGAGTTTGGCCTACTCGGAGAAGCTCCGGAGAGTAGCTGAAAGAGAGCGTGATGAGTTCGCTGCGTAAATACCAGCAAAGACAAAAGAATTGGAGTAGAAGAATGGCAGGCTGGAGTGACAGGAAATTATGAGCGCTTGCAACATTAGGCTGTTCAAGGTCTGTAATATGATGCTGCCAGAGAAATATCACAACATTGGCTGCTGAAAGAAGACGACGAATGAAGAGAATTCAGCCTGGAAATTGAAGTCGCCAGACAAAGAAGATGGGAACTTTAAAAGAGACCGAATGGTCTCTCTCTCTCTCTTTTCTTAAGGCGAGAATACATAAAACGCATTTTTGACTGGCATAACTCATCGAGTGGCTTTTTCGTATAGGAAGAAAGGAACTTTAGGTTAAATTAGTTTGATTTTGGCCTTACGCTCCTTTGTTCTTTTCCGAAGAATCCAACCGATGACTTCAGCCAGTCTGGCTGGCTGTTGTGCACGATAACTCTCGAAGGGAGTATCCGATTTGCTGCCAACTTGGTACATCATAATATTATTATCAAACTTAGATCGAGTTCGGAGATGTGCAATATCGGTCCACTCCTTCTGATACCTTCCCCACAAAATGTCAACATTTTCAAAGAAAATAATTTACTACACACGAAGGAGAAAGAAAAATCCGAATTTGCTGGAACTTTGCAAATCCTAATATTTTCATCAGTGCTATGTCAGATGCGAAAATGGACAATATCGGTCCGCTCCATCAATTACCTCGCCCACAAAGGGTCAAAATTTTGAATAATTATAAGTCGTATAAAATATGATGTAAGTGTCCGATTGTCTTTGAATTATACATATCGTAATATTTGTATTAACCCAAGGTCTGGTGTGAAGATGGGCCAAATTGGTCCACTCCTTCTGGTACCTCCACAAAGGGTCAAAATTTTGAATATCAATGAAGCTCATAACACACGAAATTAACATCCGATTCCATTCAGACTTGGCACATTTCAATATTTCCATAAACACAAGATCTGTTACAAAAATGGTAGAGATCGGACCATTCCTTGTGGTACCTCCCCCACAAGGGTCAACGTTTTGAAAACAAAAACGATCATAAAATCCGAAATAAGCATGTGGTTCTCTTCAAATTACACACATCACAATGTTTTTATTAAACTAAGGTCAGGTGTGAAGATGAGCCATATTGGTCCACTCCTTCTGAAAGCTCCTCCACAAAAGATCGAAATTTTGAATACCCATGAAGCTCATAAAACACGAAATTAACATTCGATTCCATTCAGACTTGGCACATCTCAATGTATTTATCAACCCCAGATCTGTTATAAAGATGGTAGTGATCGGACCATTCCTTCGCGTACCTCCCTCACATAGGGTTCAAATTTTTGAGAAACAAAAAGCTCAAAGAAAGCCGAATAAGCATCCACCTCTCTTCAAATTTCACACATTCACATAATTTTTCTAACGCAAGATCTGTTGTGAAGATATTATATATATCTGCCAACCCCTTCTGGTACCTCACCCACAGGGGGTCACGATTTCTAATACTTATGTCTGTCGTGATTTGCGAAACAGTTCGGCGATTCTTTATTTTTAACTGTATTAGATGAAGTATGAAAATGGAATACTTCTTTCCTCTATATCTGGCACCTGACGCATATTTCCATATTTTCCAAAAATTTGCACATATCTCACATAAAGTATAGGAAATAGTAGATATAGTCCAAATTTGGCACGTTGTAATATTTCTATCAATCTTTGGTCAAATACGAATTGGTGTCAATATTGGCCAACTGCTTTGGAACCTCCACCATGAAAGGGCAACAGTTTGCATAATCATAACTCAAAGCTGGGGGTATACATTTGTCCCCAAAACCGACTGATATTATTTTACTTATTTTTTAATTAATTTTTTTTAAATTTTAGAAAACGGCTTAAATAATCTCCCTTGCATTCCGAGAAATTTTGCAGAAAAATCCCCCCGACAAATCCCACTTCAATTGAAAGCCATGCTATTTAACGGTGACAAAATTTACTATTTTTATTATTTTTTTTTTTTAAATTTTTTTTCAGTTTCTTTTCTTTCCTTTTTTTGTTTGTTTCACATAAAAAAATATTTAACATTACAAAATAATACTTAAAAACTAAAACAAAAAAGAAAATATTTATAAAAAAAATAAACTATTTACAATTGTAGTACCGTGCACGCACGCTGAGAGAAATTGTGAAAAAATGACAAGAAGAGATCAACGTGAGTGCACTTCGGACTACAAAGAAACAAGAGAGCGTGAGGTGTCACTGAGGTGTCAGTGTGGATAGTGTGGAAAAAATTGGGAGGGGGTTTTTGAAAATGAAAATGCAAATAAACAAATTGTCAAATGGTGAGTATGGAGCTGAGAGCGAGAGAGAATGTCTCCTACTCCCCTCCCCCACTCTTCTCTTGACAATTTGAATTTGCGGAAATGAAAAAAAACGTTGTTGTTGTTCACAATGTGTTTTTGTTATCCGGTTGAGTTTTTGCATCAAATGGATTAAAATTCTTGGCTGAACTATAGAAACCTATTTGCCACCATATGCAAAATAGGTTGCTATAGTCCGTTTTTTTGTTTTTCTTGAAGGGGAAAATAGCAACGAACATCACTTCTCTGCTTTGGAGGATTTTCTCGTAATTTTAATCCGTTTGATTTGTGTGGCGTTTTGTTTAAATCGGCGCTCGTTCTCATTAATTGGTCCTTGGAGTAGTATTGTTTTGTTTTTGGCAGCATTTCATTGTTGGTTGGATTGATTTGTTAACTACATTATGCTAAAACGGCTAAAAATTTAGAAGGGAGCACCATAGCTTCCACTGGGTCTGGATGGGGCACCATAGGAGCCGGATGGAATACCACCGCCAAAGCCACCACCACCGCCGCTGCTGTAGCCACCACCGCCGCCGCTGTAGCCACCAAATCCACCGCCACCACCGGCCTGGGTGCTGGTCTGGAGATATTGGGCAACCTGGATGGCCTGACGTACACCTTCCAAATCAATGCCAACAACACGGCCACCACCGCCGCCGCCACCGAAGGGAGCACCATATTGGCTGGAGGGCACACCATAAGAACCCGATGGGGCACTGGGATAGCCACCACCGCCGCCGCCGCCACCACCACCTCTACCGCCCAATTTGCTTTCTTCCTGCAAGAGGATTTGACGGACCTGTTCCAAAAGTTGGGGATCAACGTTTTGGCCCTCATAGGTCTGGGGTCCAATGGCCACTTGGCGGTAACCGCCACCACCACCACCGCCGAAGCCACCACCGCCAAAGCCGCCACCACCGAAACCGCCACCACCAAAGCCGCCACCTCCAAATCCACCACCACCACCTCCGCCATTGCGTTGATAGTTATAACCGGATGGTGGTTCCGCCACAGCCAGGGCAGCCAAAGCAAACACTACGAGCTGCAAAGAAAAAAATCAAAAAGTTACTTATATCCTTGCCACCATTTCCACACAAGGTTCACAGATAAAAGAGAGAGCGATCGAGCGAGTGAGAGCCTGAACTTACCACGGAGAAGGAGTTCATAGTCGTGTGTGTGTGTAAATGAGGGGAGAGAAAGAAAACTTAAATTAAAATGCAATTGAGTTGCTTTCAACTAGGCAACCGACGACTGAATGCCAATGATAGGCCACGACAGCCCTCTTTATAGCAAGATTGAAAACCGAAAAAATACCCACCGACCAACCAAAAAAACAACAAAAAAAAAGTTCATCATTAGCCAAACACAAGTTTACAGTTCAGCAGCTCACACACAGAGACCAGATCAGCCAGCTAGCCAGCCAGCCGGTCGCTTGGCCGTCTTAGGCCAAGAGTTGAGTCAAGTCAATAGACAGACAGACAGACAGAAAGCCATACCTCTTTGAAAGCCGTCCACCAAGACTCGTCTTCTCATCAACGACACCATCAACGCCCGCACGCCTGCCCTGCCATCAGCTGCGACGGCGCCTTCAGTTTGAACGCATTGTAATTGCAAAGACTCACTTGCTGACTGGAGGTATGGTCGGGTCTGGTCTTCAAGGAAATATTGAAACTTGATTACAAACACACACACACACTTACAGATAATCTGGGATCTCTTGGAAATCTTAAGGCCCATTTGGCCACAATTGTTGTAAAGTGCACATAACAGTATTTGCTACTTGTTGTTGTTGTTGTTTCTTCTTCTTCTTCTTTTTGTTGTACCTATATGTACCATGCATTTGGCTAGGCAATTTGTCTTTGGCTGCTCTGCTCACGGGTCATTTGTATGGATGACAGAGATTTCGATTGGCTTAGATTGGCTGATTATTATTTCAATTAACCGAAAGCCAAAGAAGATGGCTACCGAAAACCAATCAAGAAGTTTGGAGGTTGTTTTTTTTGTGTTTTGGCGGTGGGGTGGTGATGGGTTTCAATTTCAATTAACATTTCAAATCTACAAGACTGGCCCAAAATAGTATTTCTTTTATGATCCAATAAAAAGGTATGGCAGAGCTCTCAGCTGATTACAAATTTTCTGCCTGGGAATGACCGAATTTCGTCAAATGCATTCCCATAAATGTTGTTGGGAATATTGAGTGTTATGACAGATTAAAAAAAAAAAAAACAAGTAAACAACAAATAAATCGGCCGGGCCGAACAATTTTCTGTCTTAGGCTGTAGTATTCATTACGAACTTCAAATACGAAATTTTAAGCAATTCCGGTGAATAATGTCATTAAAATCATCAAAATACCGAATATCGGGAGGTATCGTTATATGGGGGCTATACGAAGACGTGAACCTACACCGACAATTTTCTTTCTTAGGCTGTAGTATCCATTACGAACTTCAAATACCAAATTTGAAACATATCCGGTGAAAAATGTCGCTAAAATCATCATAATACCTAATATCGGAGGGTGCCGTTATATGGGGGCTATACGAAAACGTGGACATACATGGCCCATTTTCAATACCAAAAGTCCTGCAGACATAATAGACATTTGGGCAAAATTGTTTTAACCTACTTCATTTTGTTCGGAAGCTAGAGTGATTTCCACAGACGGCTAGACGGAAAGACATCGCTAAAGCGTCATATAACTTTCTGCTGATCAAGAATATATAAACTTTGTGAGCTCTAAAATGTATATTTCGAGGTGTTACAAAAAGGAATGACAACCTTAATATACCCTCCATACTATGGTGGAGGGTATAAAAATACAAATGGCGTCCAACACTTGTATCAAATATCAAATGTAAATATGTGCGTCTTGTGCATTGGCGCCCAACACTGAAACTCATTACTCCTTAAACGATAAAGAATCTTTAAAAAGACCTGCATAATCGAAATAACGGTTTTAGACCATGGGTTTCTTTGGACCAAATCCGTTTCAGAATATTTGGAGTCGATCTTGCGATGTCCGCCTGTCTGTCTGTCTGTCTGGCTGGTGCGCACGGCAATTCTCGAAGGGATTATCCGATTTGCTGCAAACTTGGTAAATCATAAAAGTATTGTCATACTTAGATCGAGTTCGGAGATGGGAAATATGGGTTCACTCCTTCTGCTACCTCCCACACAAAAGGTGGAAATTTTCAACAAAAAAAATATATATATTCTGCACAGAAAGAGAAAGGATTATCAGATTTTGCTCCATCTTGCAAATCCTAATATTTGAATTGCTCCTAGATCAGGTGCGTAACTGGACGATATCGGTCCGTTTCATCACGTACATTTTGAATAATTACAACCCTTATAAAATGTGATGTATGAGTCCGATTGTCTTCAAATTTCACACATACCAATATTACTATAAACCCAAGATCTTTCAAAATCTTTCAAGATTTTTCAAAATTTTGAATATCCATGAAGCTCATAAAATATGAAATTAACATCCGATTCCATTCAGACTTGACACATCTCAATATTCCTATAAACACAGGATTTATTATAAAGATGGTACAGATTGGAGCATTCCTTCAGGTACCTCCCCCACAAAGGGTTAAGCTTTCTAATAACCCTAAAGATCATAAAATCTGAAATAACCATCAGATTCTCTTTATATTTCACACATACAAACATTTTTGCTAACACAAGATCTTTTATGAAGATGGGATACATCGGTTCTCTCCTTCTGGTACCTCCCCACAAAGGTTCAAAATTTTAAATACCCATGAAGCTCATAAAAAGCCAAATCAACATCCGATTCCATTCCAGACTTGGTACATCTCAATATGTCCATCAACACAAGATCTGTTATAAAGATTGTAGGGATCGGATCATTTCTTTTGCTACCTGCCCCACATAGGGTTCAAGATTTTAAAAACAAAAAGCTCAAACAAAGTGAAATAAACATCAAACTTTTTTTTTTCAAATTTCACCAATACAACATTTTCGCTAAGACAATATCTGTTGAGAAGATGCCATATATCTGCGAATTCCTTCTGGTACCTCATCCACAAAAGGGTCACAATTTTCCATACTTTTATTTATCATAAAATGCGAAACAACTCAGCGATTCTTTACAACTTGTTATATCTAAATATATGTTTCTCAACCAGAAACCTGAGGCGACTATGGAACTTATGATTTCCCATAAATTGGATATCAATGTTCGATTTTCTTATAATTGGACATGCCAATATTTTTATATGTATTCTTCGGTCGACTATATCTGGTACATCACACACATGTTAACATTTTTTATAAATTATCACATATCTCATGTAAAGTGAAGGAAGTTACCAATATAGTCCAAACATGGCACGTCGCAATATTTATATCATATTTATTTAGGTCCGATACGAAATAGACGATATTGGCCCATCCTTTCTTTTTTTGTTAATAATAATTTAAATTTCTTAACGCTTACTGAATTTAATATAACTTTCAGTATTGCGAGCCAATTTATAAATTCTTTTCGCTTAGCGTTGGGCGCCATGTGTTATACTAGCTTTTTATGGATGGCGCCCAATTTGTCTGAGGATAAAATATTACATAGTTATGGTGGAGAGCCCAATTTTTTTATCAATCTGGCGCCAAGTGTAAAAACCCAAAATTTAAAACACATTAGCTCAATTTTTTTCCGGATACAAGTGTTGGTCGCCATTTGTATTCAAAATATTAAATGGATAATCTTAACTCTCGCTTTTAAGTATTCTTGAATTGTTTGCCACTTTCAGTGTCGAATGACAATTGCTCTGTTTCAGTACCTGCAAGTATCAACTATTTTTGTAATTTTCTTCGATGTCATAGAGGGAAAATCGGTTATCGTAGTAAAAACATGTATATTCTTGAAGGGTTCTAGAAAAGATCAAATTTATAAATTCTTTCCGCTTTGCGTTGGGCGCCATTTGCCATTTGGTAGGAAATTCGCCTACCAGGAGTCTAATGTATGATTATACAAGGTGAGTTTCAACAAATTCAAACGCCATAATTTTTACATATTTTTATAAATTTTATTGAATGAAAGCAAAAAATGTCGGAAATAGCATCAAATTTTAGAATAAGGCCTTTTAGAATTATGGCCTTCAAACGGTCAATAAAACCGTCACACGCTGCCCGAATGTTGCGCTCTGCGGTATTTTGGCCCATTCCCGGCAAAGCGCTTGCTTGAGGTGATCGACACTTTGGTATTTTTTGTAGGGCCAACCTTGCTTTCCAAAATACTCCAGACACAACAGTCGTCCAACGGATTAGTGGTATTCGGAGATTTTGGTGCGCTGGAAATGAAGCGAGGAACCTCATTTTGTAACTATTCTTGGGTGGCGCGAGCTGAGTGCGTTGGTGCTGAGTCCTATTGGAATGTCCAAGGTCTACGGCCAAAATGTTTGCGTGTCTAAGGCTTTTATATACCCTCCAGAATATTTTCGCGATAATATTCGAAATTTATTCTGATGCCACGCTCGATTAATAGTAGCTTAGAGCCACCATCGGCTGTTATGGCGGCCCACACCATCACCATGGCCGGCACTTAAGTTGAGTTGTGGGGGTCAACCGAAGCTGCACATTTTCAGCTGACTTAGGGTGGAAATACAGAAAGCGCTTATCTGGCTGGCTTTAGTCATCGGTTGGCTTCTTTGGAAATGAACAAAGGAGCCTAGGACCAAAATCGAACTATTTCAACCTAAAACTTCTTTGTTCATCTACGAAGAAGCCAGCCGATGACCTAAGCCAGCCAAATATTCTCTTTAGGTATTTCCAGCCTTAGGCAAGTAAACAGGATCATCTGGTTTGTATACAAACTGCCACTGGACAACGAATGTTTTCTCATCGGAGAAAACCAAATTCGGCAGTTCACCATCACCACTTTCGGCCAATCGAAGCAACTCTTTAGCTATTTTGAGTCTAGTTTTTTTTTCTGTTGCGGTGCAAGTTTAAATTTTTGGAATTTCAATAGCTTTACCCCGAGCTCATTTTTCCAATATTTGCCGAATGGAATATTGCGATATGTTCAGCTCACGAGCCATTTTTTGGCCACTGTGACGCTGGTTTCGATCAAGTCGATTCTTTACTTTTCGAAACATTTCTGATGATGTTGCTTCCACTATCTTCCGTCCAGATTCTTGACGTCGGGCTACGCCACCAGTATCACACGGTAACGAACAATGGCACGAGGCACAAAAGATTTATTCACATTAAAATGCTGGAGTTCTCTAACCATAGCCACTTGTGGGTTTCCAGCCAAATATAAAGAAATCACGCTTGACTTCCTTCGGGAATAACTTTTTTTCTGGAAAATTCTCACCAAAATGCTTGTGTACGCTTGTAAACAATATAATGAGCTGTCACTGGAATAATTTTTAACAGCTGTCGGAATAGTTTTAACAGCTGTCGGAATAATTTTAACAGCTGGCTTAGAAATGACAGCAGTCTGAAGTTGGTTGCAGTTCTTTCATCTCACCCTGCAAGTATTCTTGAATTGGTTTAAATTTATAAATTCTTTCCGCGTTGGGCGCCATTTGCCATTTGGTAGGAAATTCGCCTTCTTTGCGGTTTCCTTAACCAAGCCCAATCAAAGTTTGTTACTATTGGGCGCCATCCCATTTAAATAACAAAGACTGTTCTCTCGTTTCATTTTAGATAACCACAAAATCTAGTTATGAATTATGGCGTTGGGCGCCATTTTCTAAAGGTAAATATTCTCTATATGGCTTAGAAATGACAGCAGTCTGAAATTGGTTGCAGTTCTTTCATCTCGCCCTGCAAGTATTGCCGAATTGGATTGAATTTATAAATTCTTTCCGCGTTGGGCGCCATTTGGTAGGAAATTCGTCTACCTGGAGTGTTTTCTTTGTGTTTTCCTTAACCAGGTCCAATCAAAGTTTGTTACTATTGGGCGCCATTCGCATTTAAATAACAAAGACTGTTCTCTCGTTTCATTTTAGGCAATCACAAAATCTAGTTCTGAATTGTGGCGTTGGGCGTCATTTTTCTTGAATTGAATTTATAAACTCTTTCCGCGTTGGGCGCCATTTGCCATAGTAGGAAATTCGCCTACCAGGAGTGTTTTCTTTAACCAAATCCAATCAACGTTTTTAAGTAACAAAGACTGGTCTCTCGTTTCATTTTAGGTAATCACAAAATCTAGTTATGAATTTTAGCGTTGGGCGCCATTTTCTAAAGGCAAATATTCTCTCACCCAAACCTAAAGAACTTCAGTTCTCATAGAAAAAAACTCTCGCCATTTAACGGTGACAAAATTTACTATTTTTTTTTTATTGTTTTTTTTTTCGTTTTGTTATTTTTTTCTTTTGTTGTTTCTTTCATTCCTTGTTCTTTTTCTGCTTCTTCTTTGTTTGTTTCATAGTTACAAATATTTAAAAAAAATCTTTACTTAAAACTAATGAAAATTATTTAAAAAAAAATTGAAAGAAAAATCTATTTACAATAATTAACAAATTTTACTCTCATTGCCATGGAAAATTGGTGAAAAACAACGTCGTGTGGGAGGAGAGAGGATAGCAATGAGAGCATTTGTTGTGAGAGTCCTCTGAGTTATGTGAGTGTAATGAGGTGATAGGAGAATATTTTGAGCGGGGGAATGGATAGTTGGAAATGAAAATGAAATAAAAAAAGTGAACTAGGGTTTCCCCAAACCCCAGTTAACTTGGAAATTTGAAATCGAAAAGGAGTTATCCTTTTTTGAATTTGTTGTTGGTTTTTTTCTCCTGGCTCGATCATGAAATGGATTAAAAATCTGAAAACACAACAGCAGCTCACAAAATGGATTTTTAATGGTTGTTTTTTTTTTCAATCCACTTGTTTGACTGGATCCTTCTCACTTCTCAGCTTGGTATTGGAGGGAGATTGAGGAAAAAAGGGCTCTCCCTACTGTTTTTTTATGTGTTCTGTGTGTTCTCTGTGACATTTCTGGGTGGTGACATTTTAATCCATTTGTGGCTCTTGCGTTTCCTCCGAATATTTGGCAGCATTTCAAATTTGTTGGAATTTCTTCTACTAATCTTAGGCTAGGATATCATATTTGGCAACCTAGAAGGGGGCACCATAACTGCCGCTGGGCCTTGATGGGGCGCCATATGATCCCGAAGGAGCGCTGGGATAGCCACCACCACCGCCGCCGCCACCGGCTTGTGTGCTCTGCTGGGCGAATTGGGCCACCTGAATGGCTTGACGGACACCTTCCAAGTCAATGCCAACAACACGGCCACCACCGCCGCCGCCACCGAAGGGAGCACCGTATTGGGACGATGGAGGTCCATATGAGCCAGAGGGTCCGCTAGGATAACCACCACTGCCGCCGCCACCGCCTCCACCACCACCGCCTGATTTGCTTTCCTCTTGCAGCAGAATTTGACGAACTTGCTCCAACAATTGGGGATCAACATTTTGGCCTTCACTGGTTTGGAAACCACCGCTAACAGCTTGATAACCTCCACCGCCACCACCACCGAAACTGCTGCCTCCACCAAAGCTGCTGCCGCCACCAAAGCTACCGCCTCCGCCGCCACCACCACCACCACGTGGGTAATTATATCCCGATGGAGGCTCAGCCACAGCCAATACGGCCAAAGTCAACACCACGAACTGGCAAAGAAAAGAGAACCACAGCCAAATTAATATCCATACGAATTCCTCCTATCCTCCATACATGCCATACTTACCACGGAGAAGGAGTTCATAGTTGTGAGTCTTGAGTGTGTGTGTGTGAATGAGGGGGAAAAGAAGTAAAAAACAGTTATAATTTAGTTGCTTTCGAGTAGGGAATCAACGACTGAATGCCAACGAAAGGCCACCACAGGTCCTCTTTATACCAAGTCGCTGCCGTTGGCCATCCAAGCTGCAACATAACACCAACAGCAACAACAACAACAATGAACTCTCCAAAAAAACAAAGCAACAAAAAACTCCATTTCAAGTGATGAGCATGCTAAAGGGGACAACCAAATGTGTGACGCAGGCGCATTATGGCATTAAGTGCCAGTAGTTGTTGTTTCACAAGAAAAAATAAAAAACAACAACAACATCAAGCAAATAAACTTGCAAAAAAAGAACGTACATCAACCAAATATATAACCACATTCTTCATGAAAAATGTTGTCGATAACAAGGTTTTCTATTGAATATAGTTACGATAATAAAATTTTCTATAGAAAATAGTTTCAATTACAATATTTTCTATAAGAAAAAGTTTCGATAACATGGTTTCCCGAAGAAAACAGTTTCGATATGCACATTTTCTATAGAAGTAGATCCGATAACAAGATTTTCTACAGTAAATGGCTTCGATTACAAGAGTTTCTATAAAAAAAGGTTCGATAATCAGTTATTCTTAAATAAAATAGTTTCGATAACAAGATTTTCTTTACGAAATAGTTTCGATTACATGGTTTTCCAAAAAAATAGTCACGATAACAAGTTTTTCTAAAGAAAATAGTTTCGATAAGAAAATTTTCTATAGAAAATAGTTTCGATTACAAGAGTTTCTATAAAAAAAGTTTCGATAACCACTTATTGTTAAGAAAATAATTTCGATAACAAGATTGTCTTTGGAAAATAGTCAGGACAACAAAGTTTTCCAAAGAAAACAGTTTTGATAACACGATTTTCTATAGAAAATAGTCACGATAACAACGTTTTCTAAAGAAAATAGTTTCGATAAGAAAATTTTCTATAGAAAATAGTTCCGATAACAAGATTTTCTAAAGAAAATAGTTTCGATAAGACAATTTTCTAAAGAAAAAACTTTCGACAACAAGATTTTGTATAGAAAATAGGCACGATAACAAAGTTTTCTTAAGAAAATAGTTTCGATAAGAATTTTTTCAATAGAAAATAGTTCCGATAACAAGATTTTCTACAGAATATAGTTTCGATTACCAGAGATTATATAAACGAAAGTTTCGATAACCAGTTATTCTTAAGAAAATAGTTTCGATATCCAGATTTTCTTTGGAAAATAGTTTCAATAATAAGGGTTTCTAAAGAAAATAGTTTCGATAAGAAGATTTTCTATAGAAAAGGGTTTCGATAACAAGATTTTGTACAGAAAATAGCTTCGATAACAAGATTTTCTATGGAAAATAATTTCGATACCAGGTGTTTCTATAGGAAAATGTTTCGATAACAGGTATTTCTATAGAAAAAAGTTTCGATAACCAGTTATTCTTAAGACAATACTTTCGATAACCTAATATTCTACAGAAAATAGTTTCGATAAAATAATTTTCTGCAGAAAATAATTTCGATAATAAGATTTTCTATATAAGCTAGTGTCAATAATAAGATTTTCTATAGACATTAGTTTCGATAACAACATTATAGACGAAAATTAGCTTCGATAACAACATTATCGATAGAAATTAGCATCGATAACTACACTTTCTTTATAAAGAGCTCCGATAACAAGATTTTCTATAGAAAATACTTTCGGTAGCAAGATTTTCTATAGAAAATACTTTCGACAACAAGTATAACAGTATTTTCTATAGAAAATACTTTCGATAACAAGATTTTCTATAGAAAGTACATTCGATAACAAGATTTTCTAAAGAAAAAAAATCGATAGCAAGATTTGCTATAGAAAAAATTGTCTGTAAATTTGTAAAAAAATAGTTTCGATAACAAGATTTTCTATGGAAAATAGTTTCGATAACAATATTATGTATATAAACTTATTTCGATAACAAGATTTTCTATAAAAAGTTAATTCGATAACAAGATTTTCTATAGAAAATACTTGCGATAACCGGATTTTTAATAGAAAATAGTTTCGATAACAAGGTTTTTTATACATAATAGCATTGATAACAATATTTTCTATGGAAAAAGATTTCGATAAAAAGTTTTTTTTTTACATAGAAAATACTTTTGCTAAAATATGCTCTGTTCCAGCACCAGCAAAAATCGATAAATTTTGCAATCTTTTCGATATCACTAAGGGGAAAATCAGTTATCGTTGTAAAAACGTTTACATTCTCTTGCAGTTCTGGAAGAGACCAATAGCTTTCTATAGAAAATAGTGTCAATTAAAAGAACGTATTAATTTTCTATTGGAGAAAATATGTTTTTCTACGGAAAATTTTTCCGATAACAACTTTTTGTGGTTAAAATGTAATGCCCAGCTTACAAAGTTCACAAAAAAGTGCTTCATTCACTGTTAGGGGTTCCCAACGGTGGTTTGTGGTACGAAGCAAGGGGAAGCAACATGTGGACATTGCGTGTGTAATATTTTTGGTCTTCTGGATTTCGTTGTTGTTGTTGTTTTTCATCTTGTGGTGACCAAATGTTTTGCCATAACGTTGAACATCTTCTTCTCTTTCAGCGTCATAGCCAAGTAGTGTGTGTGGCGATGATCTTCATGGCAATCACTACTGCAATGATGATTGTGTGTTCATCATCATCATGACGATTGTTTGTTGCATGACGTCGATTTTTTTGTTTTGTCGATTTGCAAATGGATTGTTGTTGCCTTTTTTTTCTTTTATTATTTTTGTGGTTAAATTACAGTTTTACTGGCGACCAGCAGCAACCACCATCGTCATCACCCTCTCCATTTAATTTCACAAATTTGAAAACAAAAAAAAAAAAACGACAAAACTCTTGTCTTTTCCCATCAAAAGTTCCACGGCAAACATTTTCTTGGTTTTGGGGAGAAAAGCAAAAACCAACAACAAAGAAATATTTGCATCTGGATTTTTTTGGTTTTGCTTTTGTTTTTCAGTTTAGTTTATCTTTGTAAAATGTTAACATCCAACAACGTTTTGTTTTTGGCCAAGAGGAAGTATTTTAAGCCCACTCACAAAAAAATGCCCCCTTTGGCCCAAAATGGGAGACAAATCCGACAAACACAAACATCAGAGCTTGGTATTTGTTGTTGTTGCTGCATGCATACTTACATATGTCAATATTTGATATCCAATCGTGTTGCCATCATTAACATCAACGACAGATGGACTCTCCGTGTCTCTCTTTTTTTTGCGTGTTTTGTTATTTTGGGGGAATTTGAACCCTGACATTTTGTTGTTGTGACGTTTCAAGGGATCATTTCCTGTTTGTTTGCTGCCACCAATGATTTCCCTCTCTCTCTCACTCTCTGTGTGTGTGTGAGTGGTCATTGGTGAATTTCATGTAACAACGGAACGAATCGCAACTGTTATGCAAACTCTGTTTGCGGCTGAAAAGTGGAAGAAAGAAAAACATCTTTGTTTTGTTTTTTTTTTTTTTTTTGTGCAAGTTGAAGTATTGACATTTTAGTAAAACTGTTTCCCGACATTTCAAGGAGATTCCAAAAATGAACGAAAAGGAATAGTCATTTCCTGTTTGACTTTTCTAAAAAAAGGAAATATTCCTTAATAATATTTGGAAGTTCTGGAAGTTCTCTTCCAAGACCTTTAAGAATTTAATATGTTTAATAGGATAATAGATTTTTCCTTTACAATATCGAAAAAATTGCTCTATTCCTCAATTATCAAACATGGTACTACCGAAAACCCATATTACCCTTAATGATGTCGAAATAAATGGCAAAAGTAACAGATTATTGCAGATTCCGGAACAGAGAAAGAACTTCCAAGGATCTACCAGTTTTGAAATCTTTTTCGATGGCATTAATGGAAAGTCGGTTATCGTAGTAAAGACTTTTGCATTCTTGCAGTTTTGGATCAGGCAAATTATCAACCAATAATTCAATAACTCACAATTAAGGTGAGAATACATAAAAGGATTTTTTGACTGTCTTCAAGAACAAAGAAAAGAACAAAAGGGCGTAGACCCAAAATCGAACCAGGTTAACCTAAAACTCCTTTGTTCCTCTATAAACAAGCCAGCCGATGAATAAAGCCAGACAAGAAAAAAACGTTTTATGTATTCTCACCTTTAGTCAGGTTCAGAACCTGCAAGAATCTAGTAGTATTGCATTTTTTTCGATGTCATAAAGGAAATATCGGCTATCGTAATAAATTTGTTTACATTCTAGCAGATTTTTATCGAATATATATATAATTATAGATGATTTATCTATATAAAATCATGTTATCGATTATGGTTTTTTATAAACAAATCTAGTTATCGATAATGCTTTCTATGGAAACCTTGTGATCGATAATATTTTTTATAAAATATCTTGTTATCGATACTATATTCTAAACAAAATGTTGTCATCGATAATATGTGTTTATAAATCATCTTGTTATTGAAACTGTTTTCTTAAGAAAATCTTGTTATCGATTGTACGTTCCATTAAAGATATTGCCATGGTAGTTTTTTTCATTGAAAATCTTGTTATAGATTTAGTTGCAATAGAATAACTTGTTATCTACAGCATTTTCTATAGAAAATATTATAATCGATAATATTTTCTGTAGAAAATATTGTTATCGATAATATTTTCTGTAGAAAATATTGTTATCGATAATATTTTCTAGAAAACATTGTTATCGATAATATTTTCTAGAAAACATTGTTATCGACAGTATTTTCCACAGAAAATATTTTTTATGGATAATAGTTTCTATAGGAAATATTGTTATCGATAATATTTTCTACAGAAAATGTATTTATCGATAATATTTTCTGTAGAAAACATTGTTATGGATAATATTTTCTATAGAAAATATTGTTATCGATAATATTTTCTATAGGAAACATTGTTATCGATATATTTTCTACAGAAAATGTATTTATCGGTAATATTTTCTGTATTTTCTACAGAAAATATTTTTACGAAAATATTTTCTATGGAAAATTTTATTATCGATAATATTTTCTATAAAATATCTTGTTATTTTCTATAAAATATCTTGTTATCAATAATATTTCTATAGAAAATAAAGGTATCGATAATAA